GTACCACAATCGGTACTTAGGGTTTGGGACGGTGATGGTGACCAAGTTGCATTTTCCACTGTCACAGTTATTTGGAGTTCAGACATTGAAAAAGAGAGTTGACTTCCTCAACATAAGGTGGATCCAAGGGGTAAGCCCAACCTGGTAAAATAACCTAGCTCAGTATTGACCAGGAGGGGCATCCCCAGTTAGAACCAGGCCCAGAGACAATAAAGACTTCAGACAGAGATATTAGGACAGATGGAGTAGTTCAGTATCATAGGCATTCACAACAGCATAATAAATATCAAATTTCAAGAAAGTGTCAACTCACCAGGGGACCAGAGTCTTTGGGTCACCTCTGAGTCATCACTGCCATATAGCCTAGGACTGGTGACTAAGAAAATCCAGGAGGCACCTCTAGAGGGCAACAGTGAGATCTCAAGTAGGAGATACAGGGTGGCTGGCAATCATCTTATTGTACCCACTTCTAGTCCAAAGTGGGAAGTAAGCTATCACAACAAGAGTGATTACACCGAAGAGAAACAAAAGAAGAAGCCAAGGTTTGGTGTCAATCCAACAGACCATAGCTATACCCATTTCACTTGTGATGTTCCTCGAGGTTCCGTAGGGCATAGACTAGCCAGCACCCAGGATGTGGTTGGAGTAGGGCTATGGTTGGAGCAGGTCAACAATGGTGACCACCTTAGAATTGAATATTTCACCTTCTTTCTTTTTGGCAGAGCTTGTTTGCCTTTTGTGATGTAGAAACCCAAATACTTGACCTGGTTTCTGTATATCTGTACCTATTTCCAGGATACCTTATAGCCTCGTGCTTTTAAGAGTTGGAGAAGCCTGAGGCTACCAGTCCAGCTGGACACCTGGGGGTCTCTAGCAAGAAAGAGGTCGTTGAAATACTTGAGGAGAGAGCACTGGAGCTCCTCACCAAGGAAATTAGCAAGGCCCACAGCCAAAGCTTCTCTGAAGAGAGGTGGAGGTACAGAGGGTTTAAACACAGCTCTAAGAAGCTAAAGCCACTTCAGCATGAGTTTGATCCCTGCCTGCCCTGGAGGTGATCTACATGGGGTGGCAGACCTCCCCCTCACATCAACAGTGTACTTTGATGGTCTGCCTGTTCTGCTCCCCACTCTGTCTCTGGTGAATCCTCTCACTACCCCTGCACCTTTGGCCCTGTACCCCAGTTCTGTCTGCACAAATAAATAAATCTTTAAAAATAAAATACAAGAGGCCCTCCCTTGTGGTGCAGCAGGTTAAGGCACAGCACTAAGAAACTTAATCCACTTCAGCATGAGTTCGATTCTCGCCTGCCCTGGAGGAGATTCACATGGCGAGGCAGACCTCTCCTGACATGCCCGCTGCTCCCCTCAGCAGTGTACTTCATTGATCTGCCTGTTCTGCTCCCCGCTCTGTCTCTGGTGAATCCTCTCACCCTTTGCATCTCTGGCCTGTACCCCAGTTCTATATGAATAAATAAATACATCTTTAAAAAAAAAAAAAAGAAAGAAAGAAAATACAAGAACTAGGTACAGGCCAGAGGAGCAGGGGGTGAGAGATTTCACCAGAGACAGATGGGGAACAGAACAGGCAGGTCCACTGAAATATGCTACTGAGGAGAGAAGGGAGTGGGTCAAGAGAGGTCTGCCATGTCATGTGGATAACCTCCCTAGCTGGGGATTGGACTCACGCTGCATTGGCTGAGGAGAGCTTTATAGTGCTGCCCTTTAACCTGTTTCACCACTAGGGGGGATCAGAGGTGAAGAGTTGTTAAAACTCTGAGGTAGCTAGTCCAGGTTAAGTGAGTTTGGGAACTCTCACACTCAAAAGCAAAAAGAGGCTGACTCAGAGGTATGATCCAGAGACAGAAGAAGGTGTCTCTGAGATCAAGGCAGATGAAAAAGTACATCTGAGGGGAATGGAGACTTAAAAGTGTATATAGGTAAAGGACCACTGGATGGCTAGTGGTGACTGCTACATTATGCTGTCAAACGCTGGACAGTACAGTGACCAGCTTCTACCAGCCTTTTGACTGGTAGGAGTGTAGTGTTCCAGGGAATCAGGGAGAATTTCTGTATCTTTAAGTCTATTAATGTGGTTTTGAATGACAAGTCTCACCTACCAAGGGATTGGATGTTTTCTTGTCATAGCCAAACAGGGACTACCCCGAACTGAAGCTCGATATGCAGTGGAGCATGGTTGAGAGCCAGGCCAGGTGGGGACTCTTCAGCACAGATACCAGACAATTGCTGTTTAAGCAAGTCTGGGTTGAGCTCAATCCAATCTGGCCATGAAGTTTCCTGTCCATCTCTCAAAGGAGAGTGACCAACAGAATGAGACTGTCTGAGCCTAAATGCGAAAGTGTAGCTAACTAGCTGGTGCTAAAAGTGATATGGCGCCTAGGTTTAGTCAGAATATCTCATCCCAAGTGGGGAACTGGACAACATGGCAGGTACAGGAACTCATGAACTATTTTATGGCCCCTGAATTTGCAGACATTAGAGCAGCAGAAGGGCTTGGAGGCTCTGACTGCAGTTGCTCCCAGAATGGGCATGGTCGATTTACTAAGTGAGGTGATGACTGAGTGTTCTGCTCCTGTGTCATCTGTAAGGGTGATGTGTTGGTCCCCAACTTCTACAGTGACCATGGCTCTCAGGGACTTAGATTTACTGAGCCCAGACTCCAATATGGTAGTTTTTATCTTGAAGGGCTTCTGTTTATATTTTCCCCTTTTGGTAGCCCGCAGGCACTCTTGAGCTGTTGCAACAGGACAACAACTGGACATTCTTCCAGTGGCCCTTCTGTTTGCAATAAAATGCACATCTGGTTTCAGGGGAACACAGTGTTGGCAACGCCGGGGTGGACCCTTCCTATGAATCATGTCTGGCCTGCCCAGTAGACTATCATTCCAAGTGCCTCTCTGCCTGGTTATGAAAAACTTTAATAGTCATCTCTAGTAATTGTGTGGCATTCATACTGGCAAACTAAAATCTAAACTGATTTAGGGAAACGTCCTGCTTCAGTAACTGATAGTTGAGTAATTTCGGCATTTACAAATGGCAATATTCTTCAGATATTGCAAAAAATGAACACATTTAATGTTCAGATCCTGTGTACAGCCAAAATCTCCAAACAAAAATCAGAGGCTCCACATGTCCAGAATAGTCCAGAAGCACTTAGGGATTCCACAGGACCTAAGCATGCACAGCAATAGAACACAATGTCCTAAACTCTTGCAAAGCCGTCTCTTCAGTATCTGGGCTATAAGATGTCTAGACTCTAATGTGGAGAAAGAAGTTCCATCAATACAACCTTTCTTAACTCATCATGGTTAAATACAGGTGCCTCATCCCAGCCACAAGGTGGTGCAACTCTTAATGGATTTAGGCATTCTAGATAATTTCAATCAACCGCTCAGGACCTTGGAAACAGGCAGAGCTACTATCTCCATTCAGATTTTGACACCCAACATTTATCGGGGCTCCCTTACTGTTCTTACTGCCTTTACTGGGTTCCCTAGTACAAATGTCTTTCTCACAACCACATTCTAAAACCAAACACCTCAACTCCTGGGACTCCGTCCCACCAGCCACAAGACCTCTGACACTTTTGACTTGCTATCTCATGACTTTTCAGATCACTGGGCCTGTCTAAGCAGCTGAGGAGAGCTGACCACACCTAGCCACATAGAGAATCAGAGAGGGAAACAAAGGGGGAGACAGGCAAGAAAGGAAGAAACAGAGAGGCAGAGGGAGACAGGGACAGACAGACAGAGAAGTTGAGGATGGACAAACAGAGGGAGAGATTAAATCAGAGAGAAAGAGAAAGGGAAGACAGTTGATGAGGACTCAGGATAGGGTAGGAGATAAAGGTGGCTGTCCTGCCATCATTCACTCTTGGATGGGCCTAATCATACCAATTAGAAAGCAGGCCAATATAAAAGCCTGTTTGGCTTTTATATGGTCTGTGTGGTATTGACCAAGGCGGAGGCCAGATACCTGTAAGAGATAGCCCACACAGACACTCTAAATGGCCATGGCACCTGATTCCAACCAGTTCACACAGGGTGCTAAAGGGCATGGCCAGAGGAGAACAGGGATGGCTGAGACCATTCTATTCTCCCAGGAGGACAAGTACACAAGAGAGAATATGAGGTACCCATAATAGAGGCAGATAGGTGTGTGCAGGTAACCTCTCGAACAGGGACCCTGCGTATCAGTATTATCATGAATACAAAATGACAACAACTTCCCCTCCAAGGGTAACAGGGATGGGTGGGCCAATCCCTTGGACCTTTTAAGGAGAGGTGCTAACTGCCCCACAGGGCCCATGGGAAACAAAAGCCTGGAGGCAAAGGACCTCCAGGGATTTATAACCCTGGCAAGTGAAGTATTAGCTGGTCAGAGTCAGCAAAATGTGTTCCCAGCTGAGGCTCAGGCTGCACCTCACCATCCAAAAGCTTTGGGGACCCTGATAGTATCAGTAGTGTAGACTATTCCTGGAACAGAGGAGAAATGAAAGTGGTCACTTAGGCTAAGGTGTGGGTTGCTGTATGAACAGGAAGTCCGGGTAAGGGGAGCACAGGAAGTGACATCACCCCTGAGATGCCACCTCACAGAAGTCAGAGCCCTGGTTACCAGGCATCCAGGTTCTGGACAGAAACTTGACCCAGCCCACTTTTTTGGGAAGACTTTAGTGGTCAAAATGCTCTGTTGCCTGCCCAGAACTCAAAGACGTAGCCCTAAAGAAAGCCGCCTGAATTTGTGTCAGATTATCCTGAAATACATCCGGCGCCTTTGTAGATTTGGACGACCAGGAGCCACTGTTGTACCTGAGGTAAACAAGGGCACTTTGGTTCAGGCCATCTCAGGCCCTCACTCTGAAGTCCCCTGTGCACCCTAGATTGTGTGTGCTTGTGTGTGTGTGTGTGGGCGCGCACATGCTTTTCTGTGTGAAAGCCTGTCAGTGCTGATTTCGGCAGGATCGGCCCCCTCAAATGGGTTGGGACATGGTAACACCCAGTACCAGCCTGACTGGTGGGTCCTCCAGAATCACAGTTGTCCCATCATGGCTGAGGTGGATCCTTGTGTCTGTTTTCTCCCAGGAGGTGACCTCTGATGAGGAAAGAGAAAGTGACCAAGAGGAATATTACACATATTCACTTCCAAGCCCCCAGTGTGAGAACTATCCCAAGGCTAACAACCACCCAAAAACCAGGAACGTTGAGGTTCGGATGCTTGTACCCAAGTCAGGATTGAAAGACCTGAACCCTAGGGAGGAACGACCTCAGGGTAAGTGGCCCAGGATCATACTGAGTCCTCTCTGGGAGAAGGGAGTAGATGTGCCCTGGAAGGAGGTAACATGGGGTTGGTTTAGACCCAGAGCAGTATCAACTAGGCTTATCAGTTGTTGCACTTAGGAGACAAACACCCAGAAAGCCAATATTCTGGCTGATCTTTGCTCAGATCTGGTGTGTGACCTCTGGGAAAGGAATGGGCAGGATTGTCTTTGGCTGATGGCTTTAACTTTTGCATCTCCAGCTTCAGGTCAACAAGAACATCTGACCTCTCCTGCAACAAAAGGGAAAAGCCAGGAGCCCAGCCATGTATCAGGTTCAACACAGGAAGATGCCATGTGTCTAGGAGGAAATCAAAGACCATCTCCCACCAATGCTGTTCCAGGGGATTACCCAGAAAATAACCAGGATCCTACAATATCTGGGGTATCAGAGCTCAATGAAGCCCAGCACGGTCAGAGTCCCAGTCACCTGAGAAAACCAGACTGCCCCTTATCTGCTCAGTCAATACTATCACTGCTAGAGGAGTTAGACAAAGACCTGGAATATGGGGATGAGCTCAAGCCCACAACAGTAGGGGAGTCAGACCTTGGCCCAGATGATGGTGTTGAAGAGAAGCTAGTCCCCTCTCTGGGCCCAGCAGGGGATTCTGGCTATAGTGTCTACAAATCAGCACCCCTAGGGCAGACAGCCCAATGCCAGCATTTCCCAGGAATTCCCATCTGCTGGGAGGTGACATCACCTGAGCTGGGGAAGGACAGCCAGGGGCAGGATCCAGCAGATATTTTAGAGAACAGTGAGCTAGGACTCCTGCTCCACGGTTAGCCACACAATCACCTGAGGGTGCTGGGCTGAAACCACACCAGCAAGAGAATCCAAGCCCTGGCTAACAACCTATACTCAAGAGTGCTAAGTTAAGAGATGTCCACAGAGCACCTATTACAAAACAAAAGGTTGATCTCTTCATACCACCCTTCACAGGACCTTTTCCCTGAACCCCTGTAGCCTGACATCTTTGGGCACAGCTGACAAACCATCACTGATACTCCCTCAAAAATCTGACCCACCTTCCATGCCCTCATTGAGATTTATCTGTTTCTGCTCCAATAACCCGGTCTCCCTCTTGTATTTCAAAACCTTTAGCTCGTATATATTTCAAGATTATTTTCCACTTAGTTTCTGTAAGAATTCTTTGTTTATTAAGTAATTAAATTTTAATAAAGTTCATGTTTTGTTCACCCATGTTGTCCACTATTTGGTGTTCAAGCATTTAAACTGGCCTCCTCACTACTGACTTGCAGGAAAGATCACCTCTGAGAGGAAATCCAACAGAAACACACACACTGCCCACCTCTTATCCCCTGATCCCCTCACCTGTCTGTTATCTCTCTTCCTATTTGGTGGGGCAGTTCCTGGGTATAAATCCAAGGAAGTGGTGACTTTAGGTTCTGCTCAAGTACACAGTAGAGCTAGTATACCTTATATACTATGTAATCCAATGCTTTGGATTAAGGTAATTGAGCAAAAGAAATCAAAGCAGCCTTACATCAATACATTCTGTATCATCAAGAACATACATTAATATACACAATGGTCTGTTCCCTGGAATCATGTCTCTGCAAGATTGTGTATTTGTGGGGTTATAATGTTAATAAGAAGGAGATGTGACAGGACATCCAGCTCTGAAGTTCCATCAGTTGTTTATGACTTATGTAGCATTCTTAAAATTCTGTTGAAGTACAGATTTCTTGATTTAGCTTATGTGTCATGAGAAAAACCTTTGGAAATCATTTGCTAAGGTATTACAACCTTAGGTTGTAGTGTTATGGCAATTTCCCAGAGAAATCAGGCAATAGTCAGAGGAGGGTTGTGATTTCATTGTCACCCGGCAGGCCCAGTGGGATTGGTACCAAAAGGCTGAGTCCCAAATTACTAGAACCATAAGATTGTTTGAAGTTTGCATGAGGAAACTTGCCATTTCATTTATCAAGATCATTATTTATTTATTTGGGATGGGGGTCAGGGTGGATATGGTTACTCCTGTGAACAGGAAGTACTGTATACCAGCAACTGTTCTGCTCCAACAAGTGTCAAAATCAAAGCAGAAGTCTTCATCAGGCATGCTGTGATAGCAGCAAAATCTAAGCAAGCCTGGGAAACTCCCTGCTTC